GATTTAACGTTATGTGATGCCAACGTTAGGCGGGGGCCCACTGTACTGTCAGACAGTACAATGCCTGCACTTTAAAGGAGGGGTTTGGGATATTGGCAGTTTGGAGAGATATGTTATATATCTTTATATGTGCTTCTAAACTGTTGTATCTGGGCACCTCTGCAAAAACAGTGACCATGTATGAGTGAGGTGACAGTGTTGAATAATAACGAAAGTATTTTCGTTTTGGGAATTTTCTTTCTTTTTGGGTCACCCTGCTTCGGTGGGAAGTGGCTGACTTGTTAAAAAAGAAAAATAAAGTATGAAATAACTTTTAAAAACATTTGAATGGAGAGACGCTGTGCTCATGGAGCTCATGGAGAATGTAAACAAACCTGGAGGGGTGCGGTGAGGTCTGCGCCCTCATTGTGTTCAGCACACTGAGGGTGCAAACCCATTCTCTCGTGTCAAGGCGACTCACGCCTATCACACTAAATTTGAAGGAATGAAAAATAAAAAGCAGATCTACGTTTGGAGCGCTACTTGAGCAAACGTATATCTACATTTGGACAGTTTAAGGGTTAAGGAGGAAATTCTAGTCTTGCCTGGCTTCCTGACCACTGGAGTGCAGATGAGCCCACTGTAACATGCACATAGTCATGTACTGTGTATGGTACTGTATTGTATTTCCTAGGACTGCTTGGACAGTAAAAATAATTTTTAATTCCACTATTCACTGAATACTTTTTTTATATCTTATTGGTAATTACTGTACAATAGTAGGTCAAGTACACTACATGAGTGGTGGGAAGTGCAATGCCTGCACTTTAAAGGAGGGGTTTGGGATATTGGCTTTTTGGAGTGACATCTAAACTGTCATGTCTGGGCACCTCTGCAAAGACAGTGATATTGTGTGAATGATGGTGGAAGTGTTGAATGATGGCAAGTGTTTCTTTTTTGGGTCACCGTGCCACATTGGGAGACAGCTGTTGTGTTAAAAAAAAAAAATAGTAGTTCAGGTAAATTAAGGGGGTGATGAGCAAAATCGTTTTTTGTTTGATTTTGGTCCAATTTCAATGGTGAGGGGAAATAAATGGGATTAAATCTGGAGTATCTGAGAGAGTTATAGCAAAGGAAGGGGTAGCAGTAATGTTGAAGGATCAGTTATGGAAGGAGAAAAGAGAATATGAATGTGTGAATTCAAGAATTATGTGGATTAAAGTAAAGGTTGGATGCGAAAAGTGGGTCATAATAAGCGTGTATGCACCTGGAGAAGAGAGGAATGTAGAGGAGAGAGAGAGATTTTGGGAGATGTTAAGTGAATGTATAGGAGCCTTTGAACCAAGTGAGAGAGTAATTGTGGTAGGGGATCTGAATGCTAAAGTAGGAGAAACTTTTAGAGAGGGTATGGTAGGTAAGTTTGGGGTGCCAGGTGTAAATGATAATGGGAGCCCTTTGATTGAACTTTGTATAGAAAGGGGTTTAGTTATAGGTAATACATATTTTAAGAAAAAGAGGATAAATAAGTATACAAGATATAATGTAGGGCGAAATGACAGTAGTTTGTTGGATTATGTATTGGTAGATAAAAGACTGTTGAGTAGACTTCAGGATGTACATGTTTATAGAGGGGCCACAGATATATCAGATCACTTTCTAGTTGTAGCTACACTGAGAGTAAAAGGTAGATGGGATACAAGGAGAATAGAAGCATCAGGGAAGAGAGAGGTGTAGGTTTATAAACTAAACGAGGAGGCAGTTAGGGTAAGATATAAACAGCTACTGGAGGATAGATGGGCTAATGAGAGCATAGGCAATGGGGTCGAAGAGGTATGGGGTAGGTTTAAAAATGTAGTGTTAGAGTGTTCAGCAGAAGTTTGTGGTTACAGGAAAGTGGGTGCGGGAGGGAAGAGGGGCGATTGGTGGAATGATGATGTAAAGAGAGTAGTAAGGGAGAAAAAGTTAGCATATGAGAAGTTTTTACAAAGTAGAAGTGATGCAAGGAGGGAAGAGTATTTGGAGAAAAAGAGAGAGGTTAAGAGAGTGGTGAAGCAATGTAAAAAGAGAGCAAATGAGAGAGTGGGTGAGATGTTATCAACAAATTTTGTTGAAAATAAGAAAAAGTTTTGGATTGAGATTAACAAGTTAAGGAAGCCTAGAGAACAAAATAGGAGAGGAGAGTTATTAAATGGAGAGTTAGAGGTATTGGGAAGATGGAGGGAATATTTTGAGGAATTGTTAAATGTTGATGAAGATAGGGAAGCTGTGATTTCGTGTATAGGGCAAGGAGGAATAACATCTTGTAGGAGTGAGGAAGAGCCAGTTGTGAGTGTGGGGGAAGTTCGTGAGGCAGTAGGTAAAATGAAAGGGGGTAAGGCAGCCAGGATTGATGGGATAAAGTTAGAAATGTTAAAAGCAGGTGGGGATATAGTTTTGGAGTGGTTGGTGCAATTATTAAAAAAATGTATGGAAGAGGGTAAGGTACCTAGGGATTGGCAGAGAGCATGCATAGTTCCTTTGTATAAAGGCAAAGGGGACAAAAGAGAGTGCAAAAGTTATAGGGTGATAAGTCTGTTGAGTATACCTGGTAAAGTGTATGGTAGAGTTATTATTGAAAGAATTAAGAGTAAGACGGAGAATAGGATAGCAGATGAACAAGGAGGCTTTAGGAAAGGTAGGGGGTGTGTGGACCAGGTGTTTACAGTGAAACATATAAGTGAACAGTATTTAGATAAGGCTAAAGAGGTCTTTGTGGCATTTGTGGATTTGGAAAAGGCATATGACAGGTTGGATAGGGGGGCAATGTGGCAGATGTTGCAGGTGTATGGTGTAGGTAGGTAGGTTACTGAAAGCAGTGAAGAGTTTTTACGAGGATAGTGAGGCTCAAGTTAGAGTATGTAGGAAAGAGGGAGATTATTTCCCAGTAAAAGTAGGCCTTAGACAAGGATGTGTGATGTCACCGTGGTTGTTTAATATATTTATAGATGGGGTTGTAAGAGAAGTAAATGCGAGGGTCTTGGCAAGAGGCGTGGAGTTAAAAGATAAAGAATCACACATAAAGTGGGAGTTGTCACAGTTGCTCTTTGCTGATGACACTGTGCTCTTGGGAGATTCTGAAGAGAAGTTGCAGAGATTGGTGGATGAATTTGGTAGGGTGTGCAAAAGAAGAAAATTAAAAGTGAATACAGGAAAGAGTAAGGTTATGAGGATAACAAAAAGATTAGGTGATGAAAGATTGGATATCAGATTGGAGGGAGAGAGTATGGAGGAGGGTGAATGTATTCAGATATTTGGGAGTGGACGTGTCGGCGGATGGGTCTATGAAAGATGAGGTGAATCATAGAATTGATGAGGGGAAAAGAGTGAGTGGTGCACTTAGGAGTCTGTGGAGACAAAGAACTTTGTCCTTGGAGGCAAAGAGGGGAATGTATGAGAGTATAGTTTTACCAATGCTCTTATATGGGTGTGAAGCATGGGTGATGAATGTTGCAGCGAGGAGAAGGCTGGAGGCAGTGGAGATGTCATGTCTGAGGGAAAATGTGTGGTGTGAATATAATGCAGAGAATTCGTATTTTTGGAAGTTAGGAGGAGGTGCGGGATTACCAAAACTGTTGTCCAGAGGGCTGAGGAAGGGTTGTTGAGGTGGGTTCGGACATGTAGAGAGAATGGAGCGAAACAGAGTGACTTCAAGAGTGTATCAGTCTGTAGCGGAAGGAAGGCGGGGTAGGGGTCGGCCTAGGAAAGGTTGGAGGGAGGGGGTAAAGGAGGTTTTGTGTGCGAGGGGCTTGGACTTCCAGCAGGCATGCGTGAGCGTGTTTTGATAGGAGTGAATGGAGACAAATGGTTTTTAATACTTGACGTGCTGTTGGAGTGTGAGCAAAGTAACATTTATGAAGGGGTTCAGGGAAACTGGCAGGCTGGACTTGAGTCCTGGAGATGGGAAGTACAGTGCCTGCACTCTGAAGGAGGGGTGTTAATGTTGCAGTTTAAAAACTGTAGTGTAAAGCACCCTTCTGGCAAGACAGTGATGGAGTGAATGATGGTGAAAGTTTTTCTTTTTCGGGCCACCCTGCCTTGGTGGAATTGGCCAGTTTGATAATAAATAAAAAAAAATTCAATGGAATTTTTACTGTGAATTAAGCAGCATTTCAAACCTAGACACTGTGTTTTTAGTGACTTTTTTCCTTACAGTTAGATAGAAAAAAGTAAATAGGGCTTAAATCTATCCTTTTACTTCAAAATTGGTAAGACTTAAAATGTTCTAGTCAACATCAGATGAAAGATAATGAGTTAGGTAATCTAATTACATGGACATTTGAGCAAAATGTCAATAGATTGCATTATTCAAAATGTTGAAATATGTTTTTTTTTTTTTTTAAGAACTTTTTTGGGAGAAAAAAATTCAATAAAAACAAAACGGTAAAACATATCGCAAACCTTCTGTGTAATTCAATAGAACCATCATTCCTCAATAACGTGTGAAAAAAACCATGATGCTCCTATAAATACTCTTCGAATGAGAGAGAAAACAATCCCAATGACTTATTCCTGAGTTATTCTCAATTATGTTTTGTGTAAAACTCTATGGTTATGGCCTGCCAAATCTGAGTATGTTGCACCCCTCCATCCATGTTGACAGCCTGCAGGCTACTAAGGGACAATTTCTGCGCTCTCTTCACTCACAGAAGTTGCCATGTAGAATATTTAGAATGAAACAATCATAAAAATCATAATTTTTGAAGTAAAAAAAAAATTCACTAATTGCCAACATGTCCTCTTACTGACAGCAAGAACAAAAATTACATTTGTGGAAATTTGATAGAAATATGATAGAAACAAGCTGATTCCGTCAATATGTTGCCAGAATTATGTACTATTTTTTGGTAAGAAAACATTGTTTTCCTTAATTTTTCAATTTCAATTTTTTATCACTAAAAAAAGGTTCGTCACCTCCTTAAAAGTATTAAACAAGTTTGTAACTTTTGTAAGAAATCTGATTTTAAAATTTGAATGTATTGCAGAGAATGTTGGAAATGTAAGAAGAGATTCATCAAAGAGGATGGATGCAATAAAATGCGGTGCTCCTGTGGAGCAATGATGTGTTACATATGCAAGAAGCAGATTAATGGCTATAACCACTTTGAAGATAAACTCATCCCAACAGATCGAAACAAGTGAGTTTCTTTAACATATACCATAAATAAATTCATATTAATAAGATAAAATTTACTCATTTCTTTATATGTAAGAAGGATAGCAAAAAAAATTCTTAAATTTGTTAGGCATTAATTTATTATGTACTGTACTTGGTCAGTTGTTGAGATAGTTTGGTCATGTACACTGTAATGAATGGAGTGGGATAGGTTGATTAAGTAGTATATGAATCTGGAATGGACGGGAGGTATGGAGGATGTCTGAAGAAAAGGCTAGAAGAATAGTGTGATGAAGGTAAAATATTGAAGGGTAGGGAACTTGAACATTCAACAGGTGTAAGTAAACATGCTAGATTGGAGTGGAAGTGATTGTGTTTGGAGATTTGACATGCTTTTTGAGAGTGAGTATAGTAATTTATGTGAATAGCTTCAATGAAAATTATTAACTGGACTTGAGAGGGTGGGAAGTACAGTGCATGCATTTTAAAACTGGGTGCAGATGTTTTGTAGTGGGTCATCATTGGACCTTGATTCCTGTATCTGTGGTAGCTAGGGAATCAGTGTTTTTCTTCTTTGATGAATAACAGGTGCAGTAAGTAATTATATACATAATATAGAGAGAATGAATAAAATGTAATTAATTCATAAAAAGTAGAACACATTGTGATCTAAGGATATAGATGAGAAGGGAGCAGCTACATCTAGAATGTGTTTATGGAAAACTCTGGAATCCAATTTGCTGTATAGTGGGAAAACACATCAGCATTTATTGACTGCATTTGTGCTTTGTTTATAGGTGTCCTCTTTGGAGTAACTCAGAAACGATCCATGCTGAAGAGGTGCGAGATGTTGCTGATAAGTTGAAGCAGGAGATGGATCCTAACTTGGAGCTCATTCATAATCCTCTGAATGACCTACCTGAGGTATAATATTCTTTGGCCATGGTGAAAAAAAGACATGTGTAACAAAAGATGTTTTATTATTAAACTGTTTCACCTGTAAGTGGTACCTCAAGGTATTTCATCAGGTACCTTGATTAAGCCTCTTGTTGGTGATGTGTAATAGTAAAAAGTCTGCTATTGCTATACATTTCATTTTCCACCACTTGGCTCACAGTCCTTTTCCAACTTTGTACCTATTATAGGATAAAAGTGATAAGTTGCTTCTAATAAAATCACTTTTATTCTTGTTTGTGACAGAACACCATGCAGACAGAAAGATGGTTGTGTGTTAAAAGAATGTAGTATAGAAATGAAGAAGATGGTGATATAGACTTGGAAAAGAATTTTTTTAATTGGCCGTTTCATATTAAGATGATGGCCCAAAGAAGAAGAACAGCTGCCATTCATTTCTCTGATTTAAATCTTGTTGCTATCATAAATTCAATCATTTTGATTTCTTATTTTACTTAGGACTTTTACATTATCTGCAAACTTATTTGTATTACTCACAGAAAGGATATGATTTAAACCCATAGCTAGGACAGTGCTCTAACTACTAGATTTTAGGACTGGCTTGTCATGGGTTTGAATCCTGTATATGGGGTTGTAATCCTGTATTAGGGTGACCACAAATCCCTGCAGGACCTTAGTAGTGATTTCTACATAAAGACATTTTTATTTATCACTTTTTTGTGTGTATACCTTTAAAGAGCTTTGAGAGGTTTCCTACTCTTAAAGCTCGACCCTGGGCCAGACTTGTCTGATGCTTACCTGGTTAACCAGGTTGTTGCTGCAGGTGGCCTGCTTGTCCACATATCCTTCACAGCCTGATTGATCTGGCATGTGGTGGAAGAAATTGTTTAGTTTCTTCTTAAAGACTTTTACACTTGTTCCAGTAGTGTTTCTGATGTCTTCTGGCAAAATGTTTAAAGTTTTGAACCATGTATGTTGATACAATGTTCTCTTATTGTACCCACAGCACCCCTACCTTTCACTGGGTTTATTCTATTCATTCTCCCATCTCTTTCTAGTATTTTATGGCAGTGTGCAGATTTGGAACTAGACTCTCAAGTACATGTACTTTCCACGTATATACAGTGGTACCCCGAGTTTCGAAGTTAATTTGTTCCAGAAGGCTGTTCAAATGCCAATACTGGACAAATTTGTTCTCATAAGAAATAATGTAAATTAGGTTAGTCCATTCCATACCCCCAAAAATACACATACAAAAGCACTTACAATAATAACCTTACATAATTGTTTGAGTTGGAGGGGTTCGAAACTCGGGGTACCACTGTATTATGTATCTCTCTCTTCCACTCAAGTGAATACTTATTTAGGACGTTGAGATGTTCCCAGTAATTTAAATACAGTGGACTCCCGATTATCGGCCGCAATCTGTTCCAGAAGGTTGGCCTAAATCCAAAATGGCTGAAACTGAAGTAATATTTCCCATAAAAAATAATGTAAATCCAATTAATCCATTCTAGACACCCAAAAATATTAACAAAAAATACATTTTTAAAGAGTACCTATAGTTTTGCATACAGAAAACAGTGTGAAAGAAATATAAAGCAGTAATTTTAATAATAAATGAACATTAAATACCTTTATTGAAGACTCTTGTTGGTAAATAACAAAAAGGCACAACACTGTGACTGGAACGATACACAAATAACCCGCACATAAAAGAGAGAAGCTTACGACGACGTTTCGGTCCGACTTGGACCATTGACAAAGTCACACTAACAGAGGTGGAGCAGGATGGCTATATATAGGCAGGAAGAGGTGGAGGTAGTAGTAGTAGTACAAGAATTGTATATAATACCGACAAGATGAAATTAAGACACATGCACAACACCCGGGCATCCCCATCGTAGATGTTTCGCCATCCAGCCAGCCACTGGATGGCGAAACGTCCACAACAAAGACAACCAGATGCCGCACATGTGTCTTAATTTCATCAGTAGTTGTAGTAGTAGTAGAAGAAGAAGAGGTAGTAGTAGTGGTAGTGGTAGAAGTGGGAAATAAGGATGACGAGCCAGTCAAAAACAAAAACGAAGGAAGGGGAGCACTGCAAGAGAGCTAGATGCCCACAGAGGGAGAGCAAGCGCACAGAGGTGCGTGAAAGAGGAAGTGGTGAAATAAAATAAATGAAGAAGGAACAGAAACACGAGACAGGAGAGAGAAAGACAACCCAGAGGAGAAAAGGAAAGAGGAAAGGGGAAAAGGAAGAAGAAAAAGAAAAAAAAAGAAAAAAAGAAAGAAAAAAGAAAAAAAGAAAATAAAAAAGAAAAAAAGAGAGCATCTAGCTCTCTTGCAGTGCTCCCCTTCCTTTGTTTTTGTTTTTGACTGGCTCGTCATCCTTATTTCCCACTTCTACCACTACCACTACTACTACCTCTTCTTCTTCTACTACTACTACAACTACTGATGAAATTAAGACACATGTGCGGCGTCTGGTTGTCTTTGTTGTGGACGTTTTGCCATCCAGTGGCTGGCTGGATGGCGAAACGTCTACGATGGGGATGCCTGGGTGTTGTGCATGTGTCTTAATTTCATCTTGTCGGTATTATATACAATTCTTGTACTACTACTACTGCTGCTGCTGCTGCTGCCGCTGCTGCCGCTGCTGCCGCTGCTGCCGCTGCTGCGCTGCCGCGCTGCCGCTGCCGCCGCCGCCGCCGCCGCCGCCGCCGCCGCCGCCGCCGCCGCCGCCGCCGCCGCCGCCGCCGCCGCCGCCGCCGCCGCCGCCGCCGCCGCCGCCGCCGCCGGCGCCACTGCCACTATTACTACCACCACTACCACCTGTTCCTGCCTATATATAGCCGTCCTGCTCCACCTCTGTTAGTGTGACTTTGTCAATGATCCAAGTCGGACCGAAACGTTGTCGTAAGCTTCTCTCTTTCATGTGCGGGTTATTTGTGTACTCTTGTTGGTATATGGAAGAATGCAAGGAGGGGAGGGGGAGGAGAGTTTATTGTTTGGAAGGGGACTCCCACTCCATAAGGACTTTAGGTATCAAAGCCTTCTATGGGGTTACTTCCCTTCTTTGTCTTTTACTGCCACTAGCACCAGCTTGAGAGTCACTGTACCCCTGTCACACAAAAAAATCTGTCCAGAGAGTCCTATTTCTGGCATCTTTGTAAAATTTGCCTAAGATGGGACAAGACATTGTCATTGAACTAGTTGCAGACATGGCTTGCAACAGTTTTGTCAGGGTGATAATTCTCTGCAAAACTTTGCACCTCACTCCACTTTGCACAAATATCCTTTATCACTGAAGAAGGCACATTCTTCCCCCTCTCTTCCTCCTCTGAAGCAATATCTTCAGCTGTGGTCTGTTGCTGTTACTGTTGAGGGTGTTGCAGCTCTTCATTGGTTAGCTCTTCCCTGTGGTCCTCCACCAACTCCTCCAGATCCTCGCCACTCACATCCAACCCCATGGACTTCCCCAAAGACACAATAGATTCCACAATAGGCATAGGGTCATCAGGGTCAGCCTCAAACCCTTCAAAATCTTTGTCGAGGACACATTTTGGCCACAATTTTCTCCAAGCAGAGTTTATTGTCCTGGAAGTCGCTCCCTGCCAAGCTTTATCTATAAGGCTTATGCAGTGGAGGATATTGAAGTGATTCCTCCAGAACTCTCTTAGAGTCAGTTCAGTGTCCGAGGTCACTTCAAAGCACCTTTGAAACATAGCTTTGGTGTAAGTCACTCTGTCTGACTTTTTTTGGTTATCCTAGGTACTTTACACATTTTCTCTATTCTATTATCACACCGGCCGATTCCCACCAAGGCAGGGTGGCCCGAAAAAGAAAAACTTTCACCATCATTCACTCCATCACTGTCCTGCCAGAAGGGTGCTTTACACTACAGTTTTTAAACTGCAACATTAACACCCCTCCTTCAGAGTGCAGGCACTGTACTTCCCATCTCCAGGACTCAAGTCCGGCCTGCCGGTTTCCCTGAATCCCTTCATAAATGTTACTTTGCTCACACTCCAACAGCACGTCAAGTATTAAAAACCATTTGTCTCCATTCACTCCTATCAAACACGCTCACGCATGCCTGCTGGAAGTCCAAGCCCCTCGCACACAAAACCTCCTTTAACCCCCTCCCTCCAACCCTTCCTAGGCCGACCCCTACCCCGCCTTCCTTCCACTACAGACTGATACACTCTTGAAGTCATTCTGTTTCGCTCCATTCTCTCTACATGTCCGAACCACCTCAACAACCCTTCCTCAGCCCTCTGGACAACAGTTTTGGTAATCCCGCACCTCCTCCTAACTTCCAAACTACGAATTCTCTGCATTATATTCACACCACACATTGCCCTCAGACATGACATCTCCACTGCCTCCAGCCTTCTCCTCGCTGCAACATTCATCACCCACGCTTCACACCCATATAAGAGCGTTGGTAAAACTATACTCTCATACATTCCCCTCTTTGCCTCCAAGGACAAAGTTCTTTGTCTCCACAGACTCCTAAGTGCACCACTCACTCTTTTTCCCTCATCAATTCTATGATTCACCTCATCTTTCATAGACCCATCCGCTGACACGTCCACTCCCAAATATCTGAATACGTTCACCTCCTCCATACTCTCTCCCTCCAATCTGATATTCAATCTTTCATCACCTAATCTTTTTGTTATCCTCATAACCTTACTCTTTCCTGTATTCACCTTTAATTTTCTTCTTTTGCACACCCTACCAAATTCATCCACCAATCTCTGCAACTTCTCTTCAGAATCTCCCAAGAGCACAGTGTCATCAGCAAAGAGCAGCTGTGACAACTCCCACTTTGTGTGTGATTCTTTATCTTTTAACTCCACGCCTCTTGCCAAGACCCTCGCATTTACTTCTCTTACAACCCCATCTATAAATATATTAAACAACCACGGTGACATCACACATCCTTGTCTAAGGCCTACTTTTACTGGGAAAAAAATTTCCCTCTTTCCTACATACTCTAA